GGAGAAATTTCCTGACAGGGAGAACAATTAACCAGTGGAACGACTTGCCTCCAGAAGCGGTGAATGCTCCAACACTGGAAGTTTTTAAGAAGAGACTGGACAGCCATTTGTCCAAAATGGTATAGGGCTTCCTGCCTGAGCAGGGGGTTGGACTAGAAGACCTCCAAGGTCCCTTCCAATTCTGTTATTCTGTTAATATAAGTGGTGACAGTCTCTTTTTCAAACTTAGCAACTTTGAGACGGGTGGAGTTCAACTCCCAGAATTCTCCAGCCGTTACCAAAGTGAACATAAAATAAGTATACAAATTAAATCCAGAAACCATAAACAGAAACTTTTCCTGACACGGCATCCTTGAGGTGTGAGGACTTCAGTGCCCATAATTCTTAGCCAGCCTAGCTCATCCACCTAGAGGGCTTTACAGAAGAAGCCCGTGCTTTATCTCTTCTCATTTTTCAGGGTTTCATGCCTGTCCTGATCTGATGGCAAGTTGGCTTCCCACGTTGCTGCTCCTACGAGATTACAAGATCCCTTCTTTATTCACTATGTACAGGTAACGCTCTCCTTCCAGGTCATGATCAGTTGGGATCTGCACCATGAGTCAGCCAAAAGAAACTCATACCTTGGTCCACCATGGGAGAAATGTGGGACAGCCTTCTTTGCTTAAGCAGCAGCTCCAAATTCCATGAGCTTCTGAAGCCAGTGGTCAGAGTACAGGCTTCATCTAAGAAAGAGCTGTCCAATCTTGGCAATTTTAAGACTTGTGGACTTCAACTCCCAGAAATCCCCAGCCCAGCTGGAATTCTGGGAGTTGAAGTCCACAGACTGGACATTCCTGATCTAAGAGATGTCTTCTCAGACGGCCATGGAATCTGTGGGGCATCGGGTCTTTCTTTTCATCTACTCCCTGGTTGTTGTTGTTTGATCCCACCAGAGGTTGATCCTAGACTTTCTGCATTACAATGTTCTGGGTTGCAGGATTGTGGGCAGAAGATCAACAACAACAACTGCAGAGTAATAACTAGTGAAGAAACAACCAAGGGTGACCTTGGATTGTGCTATAAGGCTACAGCCTAATTCCAAGTGAAATTGGAGCAGTTTGTGTTTGTCGAGCCAGTAACTAATTTATTTTATTTTTAAAATTTATAAGCCGCCCCACTCCCGAAGGACTCTGGGCGGCTAACAATAAAAAACACATAAAACATAACAAACAACAATACAAAAACAATCATCCAGGGGTAAGGTTTTATAAACCCCAGGCCTGCCAGAAAAGCCAGGTCTTAAGTAGCTTACGGAAGACCAACAGGGTGGGAGCGGTCCTAATCTCCGGAGGGAGCTGGTTCCAAGAGGTGGGCGCCATCACAGAGAAGGCCCTCCTCCGCGGCCCCGCCAAATGGCACTGCTTGGTCGATGGGGCCCGAAGGAGGCCCAGCCTGTGGGATCTAACCGGACGTAGGGAACTATGAGGTAGTCTCGCAAGTAGCCTGGCCCTGAACCACATAGGGCTTTAAAGGTAATGACCAACACCTTGAATTGGACCCGGACACCAATAGGCAACCAGTGCAGCTCACGGAGGATAGGTGTAACGTGGGTGTATCGAGGAGCACCCACTATCACTCGCGCGGCTGCATTCTGGACCAACTGTAGTCTCCGAATACTTTTCAAGGGTAGCCCCATGTAGAGCGTGTTGCAGTAATCCTTTCCTTGTTTTCTTCTTTTAGTGAACAGGAGCTGAAACACTCCCTCAGAATCTTGATGGAGCTGGAGACCCAGATCATAAGCTGTGGGGCCAACCCCTTCGCCTCCCTCAAACCGGAGCAGGCCCATTCAAACCCTAACAAGCCACCTGTCTATGCCAACTCCCACTACCTTACGTTCCATGGTCTAGGAGGGGGTCCTCCAGAGGAACATGACATAGGAGAACTGGATGGGGAACAAGAAGAGAGATCTCCGCAAGCTTAGAGCTCCACAACCTAACTAACAGCGGTAGCTTCACATCTCTCAGTTTGTCATGCAGCGAGCTAAGATCTCAGGAACGCAGGCATCTGGGTGATAGTGAAGGCTGCCTTTCTATTGGCAACTAAAGATCCCAGGCGATTATTAGCAGCTGTCTAGTCCTATCTGCTAATAGACAAAGCATGTTGACTCCCAATATCTTCTGTGCAAACGTCTCCCAATTTAAAATATGTAAATCAGCTGTCTCCTGACTTGGGACCTTCCAGATGTGTTGAAGTTAGGAGTTCTGAAATTCCCAGCCAAAGGCAATGCCGGCTTGGAGTTCTAGGAGCTGTTATATCCAGCCTATCTGGAGGACTCCAAGTTGAATATAAGGGCCAGTTTGGTGTAATGGTTAAAGGCATGGATTGGAAGCAGGGGGACTAAATTCTAGTCCTATCTTAGGCACGAAAGTCAGACTAAAAGACTTGGAGGGGACCTTAGAGGTCTTCTAGTCCAACCCTGTTCAAATAGGAGACCCTATACCATTTCAGACAAATGGCTGTCCAGTCTCTTCTTGAACACCTCCAGTGACGGAGCACCCACAACTTCTGGAAGCAAGCCGTTCCACTGATTAATTGTTTTCACTGTCAAGAAATTTCTCCTTAGTTCTAGGTTGCTTCTCTCCTTGATTAGTTTCCATCCATTGTTTCTTCGTCCTGCCTTCAGGTGCGTTGGAGAATAAGTTGACCCATTCTTCTTTGTGGTAACCCCTCAGAGTTAACATTTTGGGCCAGATATTCTTTCACCCCTAGAAAGGATTTAATAGCAAACCTGGGCAATGTAAAAATTTAATAAAACAAAAAGCACATCTGAAAAGTGTTAATTTTAATTGTTGTTCACTGCTCAGAGTCATCTGCTTAATGGGTGGCCGTATGAATCACCATACAGACACGATAGTCTCATTCACTGGAATCCTGCTCATCTCTGTTTGGGAACACAATTGCTTGTAATTTTCCCTCTGCCTCCAAAATGGCTGCATGTCTAATGAATAATGGGCAAAATTTCAAATTAAGCATCAGATTACATACTCCCACTTTTCATTTTCTGTGAATGCCTACAGGACCCAGGGGAGGCGGGAAGCAATTTTGTAAATAAAGTTGATACTAAAGGTTAATGCTATGCTGGACCTGCTTCCTACTAACAAATTAAATTCCCATTTTATTAAATCCTAATTGAAATTATCCTTAGAAAAATGTCTGAAGAGCATATTTGTGTGTGCTCTGGAGCTCACAATCACTATATTGCTTACTCTAAATTTAAAAAAAAAAACATCGCTAGAGAAGATACATTCTTCTCCTCGATAACTAGCATAGATAAACAAATAGTTCTACAAACTCCAGAGCTTGCTTGCAAAGCTCTAAGGCAGGGGTCTTCAAACTTGGCCCGTTTATGACTTGTGGACTTCAACTCCCAGAATTCCTCAGCCAGGCATGCTGGCTAAGGAATTCTGGGAGTTGAAATCCACAAGTCATAAAAGGGCCAAGTTTGAAGACCCCTGCTCTAAGGATTTCACAGAAGTTGTCTGTCCTTTGCACGCAAAAACATGTTGTAGGTCTTTCTCCCGTCTGTTTTGTCACTGACCAGCCCTATATAATCCTACATTTCAGTGACCATCATGATCTCTTGGTTCAAGAGTTTCCAGAATGTTAGCTTTGGGTTGAATTGCCTTCAAGATTCCAAGTCAAATTGCCGACGTTATCAAGAACCAACTTTTAGATGGACGGACTTCAACATCCAGAATTCTGAATTCTTCCAGAAGCCTGCTGGCTGGAGAATTCTGAGAACGGAAGTCAATATATTTTGAAGTTGTTAAGGTTGAGACACACTGGAATACTGGATTAGCAGCTAGTCAAGGCTAGTGGTGGGCAATTAATTTTCACCAAGGGCCTGTATGAGAAACTGGAACGGTTGTGGAGGGCCACTACTGCAGGCCAGGCAGGGACAGCCAAAGGGCTGGATGTGGCCCATGAGCCATAAAATGCCCAGGTCTTGTCTAGATGTTAGAACGAGGCTCAGGGAACTCGGGTCAAAATTGCTTAGAACCCTAAAGAAAGCTCAGATTTAGAAGCTCCATTTGGCCATGCCAATTCCCAGGGACTGTCAAGGACCCCCTTTCACAGCATCCAATGTACTAGGTCAGTGGTTCTCAACCTGTGGGTCGGGACCCCGTTTGGGGTTGAATGACCATTTCACGGGGGTTGCCAAACAATGCAGTCTGCCATTTCCCCCCCCCCTTTCCTTAGCTGTGCTACTCCCTTTTATTCTATTGGCTTTTGAAAGCCAATAGAATAGACTCTTTTGAACAGGAATTGAATAGGAAATGTCCAGGCTGTCTCTGCCCTGCTGAGCCCGCCAAAAGTCCCATTCTGCTAACGGTGCTGCAAGTTGTCTGCAGCGAAGGCGAGCTGTCTGGAAGTTTCCACCCCTCCCTGCTGAGCAACTACTAAAAATGTAAGTAAAAGAGGGCCAGGGGTGGGAGGTGGGAGGCCGGTGGGTGCTGGGAGGGTTGCTGGCGCGCGTGGGGCCCGGCGGGTGCCTTACCTCCCTTGGGCTGGGCAGCTGGTGGCCCAGCCGGTGGTCGGCCTGCGCTGTCGCTGCCGCTTGCCAGCTATACCTCGGCCGGCGCAGGGGGCAGCACCACGCATGCGCGGCGCTCCCGGGCAGGGAAAATCCTTGACTTACGACCGGTTGGGTAGTCCTCGACTTATGACCGGTTGGGGGGGTCGCGGCATTAAAAAGGTTGAGAACCACTGGACTAGGTGATAATCAGCAGTTTACCCACCATATGCTGGACTTTGCTTGCTTGGATGAAGCAAAAAGCTGAAGAAAGCGACACAATGGCTCTAGAGAATGATCCCTATTGTTTGTGAGGTCTGAAGATAAATGAGAAGATATTGACTCAATGGTACATGAAGAAGAGGAGAGAGATCAGTCAAGCAGTTGTTTGCTAATGCCATGTGCCCTCCACGGGTGTTTCAAACCAATTCAACAATCCCATGACAGCTTTCCATCAGAAGCGGCCTTTATCACCCCAGTTAAAAAAAATAAAACAAAAGCAGAACCATACAGAACACTTGCCACACAGTTCACAAAATATTTACAGGGTTTTTCTTCCTGCCTCTCTTCTCTCCTTCCGGGGAGAAAATACAAGTTCATTCTTAGCCGTGTCTTGTGGAGAAGAGGCTACCAATGGTCCTTAAGAACAGTCTCTTGATTCTTCTGCATTAATATTTGGGTTCTTCAAAACTTGGAAGCGCGCAGTTTTGAAAGGGTTGAATAGTTACTCTCCCAAATCTGCATGTAAGGGGCTTGAGATGGGGGTTGGTAGTGTAGCATCCACCTGGTGGTCAACGGAACAGGTATGGACAACCCAAAATGCCCCCAACAGATACTGTAGCAGATGCAGACTCCATATCTACGACTTTGCTTTCCTCCTGGATGGACAGTGGAATCCAGAAACTTACATGAGAGCAACTTCAGACACCAAGCTCTTGCTTCTCCATTGGATTATTCAACTGTGCAAACTTTTGTCTGCTTGCCTCTAGAATCCGTCCATATTTTTATGGACTGAAGATACAACTTCTCAACTTTGCTTACAGGGGAGAGATGAGGAAGAGAACACAAACCCACCAACATAAACATGGAATCAATGCTTAAGCAGAGGAAGGGGAGGCAGGACTGTCCCTGCGCAACAGTGCAAATACAAATTGTGCTTGTACAAAGACGAGAAAGACCAGTGTTCAAGGAATTGGTGACTCCACTTAGCAGAGGCTCCTTTCCCAGTAAGGGCAGCTAGTGATGGTGGGAAAGTTGGCCACAAGGCATTATACTTTGATCCCATGGATGGACCTCCAGAAGGAACCTTTGCTGTGAGAAGATCCCCAGCCATAAAGAGGCCATCAGTTGTCATGGGAATAAAGCTGATGGTTCAAATTGCCAAAGACTCAAGAGCAGGGGTCTTCAAACTTGGCCCTTTTGTGACTTGTGGACTTCAACTCCCAGAATCCTTCAGCCAGGCATGCTGGCTGAGGAATTCTGGGAGTTGAAGTCCACAAGTCATAAAAGGGCCAGGTTTGAAGACACCCGCTCAAGAGGATGCATTTATAGGCCTGTATGGTATTGGAGAAGTCTCCAATAGACCCAAGAGAATCCCACAAATTTAAGACACATTAAGTTGAAGATCTGTTGGGATTCTCAGGATCCACCTGAGAACTGGTAGTTAGCAAAGAATGACTTGAATTCATGCTGCAGAATGACTGGGAGAATCCTGCTTTTACTGCATTCTGAATCATTTTGGGACTACACCCCATTGGTCAATGGGTTTCAGATGTTGGATGCCATTCTTTTACCTGTGGCAGTTATTGGCAGACAGCAACAGCCCTTAGACTTATATACCACTTCACGGTGCTTCACAGCCCTCCCTAAGTGGTTTACAGAGTCATATTGACCCCAACTATCTGGGTTCTCATTTTACCGACCTTGGAAGGATGGAAGGCTGAGTCAACCTTGAGCTCCATCAGAATTGAACTCCATGCTGTGGGCAGAGCTTGCCTGCGATACTGCATCCTAACCACTGCACCAACAGGGCTCTTAATGGCAACGTGCAGTTGACCACAGGCAAAGAGAATTTAACATACCGTATTTTCCGGCGTATAGGACGACTCGGCGTATAAGACGACTCCCGTCTTCGGTGCCGAGTTGCATGCCTAGAAAGTCATCTTATATGCCGGAAACTACCGCAATTTCCGGCGTATAAGACGACTTGGCGTATAAGACGACCCCCAACTTCGGCGCCAATTTGAATGCTTTAGAAAGTCGTCTTATACGCTGGAAAATACGGTAGGGGTTTTTGCCTGCTTGAAACAGCAGGAAAGCGTGTAGCCAAGTGGCTTGCCAGTGTACAATTAGCAAAGGAGAGCGAAAAATGCCTTTTACCTTTGCTTTGCTTTAAAACGGGGGCAGATGAAAGGTAAATCCTTGGGGCCCACAAAACAGCCAGACTGAAGACATAATGGTTGGAGCAGCCCATCTTCCTTTGACGTCCTCCTTTTCTCTGACAATTTTCTCTTGTCTTGCAAACTGTAGGCTTCAACAAGGAAGCAAGGCATCGTTCCCAGATGTCTCACCCGATCTCTTTTGCACCCAGGCCATGAACTTCAACTGAAGTCCTCTGGGTTGCTTCAGAAAACAATTTCACAGGGCCGGTGCAAGAAGGCTATTCTGAACTATGACCATTAAAGACGGTTTATCAGAGCCATCTCTGTAAGTTTAACACAGGAAGTTAGAAAATGTGATGTGGTGGGGAGTTAGCCTCCGCTCACCATAGATGGATTTCCAGGGTGGATTTCCTGGCACAGAATTTATACTGACCAGCTTTCCATCTGCAACAGAGCAATGCCCAATGTTTTCCTCCCCACACGCAGAGAGAGGAGACTCCAATTCATGTCGGTTGAGTTACGTAGGCTAGAAGGCCAAGCAGTGGTCTAGGTTTGCCCACCCACCCCAGAAACCCTTTTGGTCCAACGTAGCAAAGACAAGGCCAGGAATGTAATAGTGAAGGAGCTAGGAATAGATCAGAAGGCTTAAAGACGCTCCCAAGATCTGGAGATCTTCCAGGTTCTCCCAAAGCATCCACACAATTTAACAATGGATGAACTCCATCAACTGGCGTTCCCTCCGTGGCCTTGCTGGATTACAAGGCAAAGTGTGGAATTAAAGAACATTTTTTTTTAAAAAAAAACAAAACAAAAAAACAAGGACATTAGGGACGCCAGACCCTCTTCTGTGGAAATGAATTAGGGAGCTCCTTTGCAAGGATGGGGACGCTGAACGTGAGGCAGTGGTTACTCCAGGTTGGAACGTTCCCGCAGGACTGGTAGTGAGAGCATTTCTGGAGCGGATTTTTTTCGCTGGCGGTCCTTGGGCACATGGAGGAACTCAGGGGCTTCTCCGCTGAGCGGTGTGGAGGGGGCACTGGAGGGGGCGCTCTGAGTGCTGGGGGGCAGGTGGACGCTGATGGAGATGGTGGGAGTCACGATGCCCACAATCTCATTGGTGGCCTGCTGGGTCTCCTTCTCGTATAAGCGGACTTCATCCATGGTCATGCCTGTGGGGAGGAAGCACAGAAGAAGACATTGTGAGGACAGATGCACCACTATAGGCCCTGAGAAGATGACCCAGCTAGGGTTGGCTCCAAAATTTAGAATAGGAATAGGGAATAGAATAGAATAGAATAGAATAGAGTAGAGTAGAGTAGAGTAGAGTAGAGTAGAGTAGAGTAGAAGACAGGATATAGAAGAGAAGAGAAGAAAAGATATAGAATAGAATAGAATAGGATAGAATAGAATAGAATAGAAGACAGGCTATAGAATAGAAGAGAATAGAAGACAGGATATAGAATAGAATAGAAGAGAAGAGAAGATATAGAATAGAACAGAATAGAAGAAGAGAAAATATAGAATAGAATAGAAGAGAAGAGAAGAGAAGAGAAGAGGAGAATAGAATAGAATAGAATAGAATAGAATAGAATAGATATTGGAATATAGAATAGAATAGAGTAGAGTAGAGTAGAGTAGAAGACAGGATAGAGAAGAGAAGAGAAGAGAAGATATCGAATAGAATAGAATAGAATAGGAATAGAATATAGAACAGAATAGAATATAGAATAGAATAGAATAGAATAGAACAGAATAGAATAGAACAGGAAGGGAGATAGGAGGTCTTCTAGTCCAACCCCCTGCTCGGGCAGGAAACCCTACACCATTTCAAATGATTGTCCAATGTCTTCTTAAAAATTTCCAATGTTGGACGCTTGGCAACTGATTCATATTTATGTCCTTTGCTGTGTCCCGGGGGTCACCCGATCCCCTTTTGCGACCTTTCGACAAACAAAGTCAATGGGAAAGGCGGATTGGCTTAACAGCCGGGTTACTAACTTATCAACTGCACTGATTCCCTTAACAACTGAGGCAAGAAAAGTTGTAAAATGGGGCAAAATTCTCTTAATGACTGTCTTGTTTGGCACCCTGAAATTTTGGGCTGAACTGTGGTCATACGTTGAGGAGTACTGATATCATGCAAAAGTAAAAAAGTTCACGCTGTATGCTATTAACTTATTCTATTGTGCTCAAAAGAGTCGAAAGTCAATGCTTTTTCTTTCTTTTCCCTTTTACCCTAGACTTTTCCCTCTTCCCTTTCCCCTCCCTTACTTTCTCATTACTTTCATTTTTCTTTTTGTATTTGGATAAACTAATAACATTTTGAAAAAAAACAACAGCCCAAGAGTCAAGGCAATGATTCAACCCTTCAAAAATAAGAAGAGGATCCGACTTATTATTAGATCACGGAAGTGAGAAGTGGAGATAGATACCAGAATATAAATCTGGATTTCACTCTAGAGATAGAGCTTGCATTTGAATAACCCCTCATTAAAATACTTTTTCAATCTGTTCTATCATGTTATTAATGTTGCCAAGAAGCCTTGATATTTAATCAGGTGACTGAGACAAAGTTTAATATTGTTTGAGATCTATATTCTCTCAAATTACATACCTATTATGTGGAAACTGATGGCTGGAGAATGAAAATCAGTTTTCCATGCCCTTCATATTGTTAAGAGCCTTTGGCATTAGGAAAAAATAAATTTATGGGCCCTCTTGCTCAGTGAATTAAAATTTTGGAATTACAAGTGATTTAAAAACAGATTGCTCATAAAAGTAGAGCAGGTACAATTACAATGAGAGACAATCATCTTCTGTTGAAACTCATCTACTTTCCCTGGAGGGGTTTATGCTGAAAATGCTGATTTTATGCTGCTGCATTTTCAATGACGTTTTCGCATTTTATGCTGTAAGCAGTCTCAAGAATAACCTTGCTAGCCTACTTAATGTAACGCATGAAATCTCATGCGTAGCGGGCTAGATTAAATCTATTTGTTCAGCACATACTGTAGAATTACATAATGCTTTGAGGATGGTGAAGCTGTTTCACCCATCCTGGGCTACCCTTCTTCGTAACTTTTAACAGTAAACGATATGGGAGGTAACTCATATCAACAGAAAGAATAAATGCATCTCCAAAAAAAGGAGATGATGTCTAAAGATATAAAAGTGAAACCTTTCAAGACGTCCAAGTCAAAATCATGCAATTAGGGATGTGTAAAATGGTTCTTGAACCACCCGTTCCCTCCAGATTGGTTGGTTTTAATCAAAATATGCATATTTGGGCCAAGGAATAAAACACTGGCTTATTAAGGATATGGACTCAAATAAGGCTGTTCCAGAAGTACGTGTTTTGGGAGGGAGGGTAAGTGAGTAGGGACAAATGGAAGCAAGCCAAGGACATTTGTTTTGTTGCTTTGGATAGTGTGATGGGTGACATAGAAATTTAATTATCAAGCTAGAAATCAGGAGACAGGGACTTCTAGTCCCACCTTAGCCATAAAGCCAGATGAGTGACTTTGGGCCAATCATCAGGAGATGATGAGTTCTAGTCTCGTTTTAGCCATGAAAGCCAGTTGGGTGACTTTGGGTCAGTCCTTCTCTCTGAGCCCAACCCACTTCACAGGATTGTGTGTTGTTGTGGGGAAAAAGGCAGGATACAAATAAAAATTAATAAACATTGGCAGTGGCCAAATGAACTGAGGAGGAAGAGGATGACGCCCACGAACCATACCTTACTCACCCCATAAACTCACCCTTTTGATTTCCGCGTGTTTTGTTTCACTTGAAATCAAGAGTAACAATGTTCTAGGTTTTGTTTTGGTTACATCCGAGCCCATCCATCTCTTTATTTGGGGGATCAAAGTGAACATTTACCATGCCTTGAGTAGCCCTATTTACCCAAAACAGTTTATCCCTTTCAACAAAAGCATTGTAGAAGGTTAAAAAGTCACCCAAAAGAGGGGAAGAGAGTAGGAGGGGAGGAGAGAAAGAGGAGGGACGTGGGGAAGGATTAGAGATGGTGGATGCAGCCTGGGGGGAATGGGCAGGCGGTACCAATGGTTAGGAATTTAATTGTATTTTGTATGAATAAATGGAAAATAAAAACTTTTTAATGATAAAAAGTCACCCAAACGTAGAGTGCAGAGAAGAGCAACAAAGATGATTGGGGGCTAAAACATACGTACGAAGAAAAGTTGCAGGAATTGGATATGTCTAGCCTAGTAAAAAGAAAAACTGGGTGACATGATAGCAGTGTTCCAATATTTAAGGGGCTGCCACAAAGAAGGGGGGGGGGTCTCAATCTATTCTCCAAAGCGCCTGAAGGCAGGACAAGAAGCAACGGATGGAAACTGAACAAAGAGAGAAGCAATCTAGAACTAAGGAGAAATTTCCTAACTGTGAGAATAATCAACCTGTGGAACAACTTGTGTGTGCTCCATCACTGAAAGTTTTAAGAAGGGACTGGATGACCATTTATCAAAAATGGGATAGGGTCTCCTGCTTGAGTGGGGGGGGGTTGGACTAGAAGACCTCCAAGCCCCTCTCAACTCTGTTATTCTGTATTCTGTATCCGCTTGGTCTTTTCCCAGTTTGATGAAGCGTGATTTGTGAAGTTCATTTCCCCCCATCTCCCTGATCATGCTGTTTTATGTGGGAACACCAACTTCTGAATCAGACTGGAAAGTTATCCCAGATCTATCAGCCCCGGTCTTAAAAACTTAATCAGAGCTGTCTCCTGCGTGATGAAACTCTGTCAACCAGCAGGAGTTGTCAACTTGAAGCCAACCAAGGAAAAAATCTTGCTAAGACGGGAGAGAGCCATCTGGAGTTTCAGTGGCCTGTTCGACCTCGGAGAAGACAGTTTCATTCTTCTGAAAAGTTGGAATACCTGCTGCTTGGCAACCCTCCCACCTGCCTTATTGCTTCTTACTAAGGGGTGGTGGTGGTGTAGAGGATCCCCACAACTCCAAAAAGTCAAAGAAAGGAGATGCTTGGAGGTGCATCCACGGAGATTTATGGAGAGTCACTGAAGCAGGAGGCGTGAGCTTAAATGGACTCCAGAAGATGGTAGAGGACAAGAAGACCTGGAGGAATGTTGTCCATGGGGTCACGATGGGTCGGACACGACTTCGCAACTAACAACAATAACAACAACAACCTACAGTCTATGAACTGTTATGGAGGGGCTGTCTTAAGCCTCCTGTCCATCTGACATTCCAAGCTCCTCTGGGCACTGGGAAGCAACCCCTCCCACCTGGGAATCCAGACTCCACTCCATCGCAGTGAGGCAAAAAAGAAACAGGATAGTCAATGCTGCACAACGGTGGCTCTCTCCAACTTCAGCTTGGCCAAACGAGGTGAGAAGGTCATCCTTTTCCACCCCCATCAACAATTTTGATGAAAAAGAGGTACTGTTTCATTGGATCCATTCCAAGGAACAACTTCAGAATAAAATTTGGATCTATTTGGATGTAATAAGCATCATACCAAGTCTCATTTCTAATTATGGCATTCCTGTGTATTCCTCCCCCCCCCCCCAGGGATATGAGCTTATAATAAAGGCTTGCCTGACACTAAAGACAGCCAAATTGTTACCTTTTAAAAGCGGGTATAAAAACGTCTTTATATTTAAATACATTTTAATGCCGGGCAATAGATATCTACAGTAGTTCAAACCGAGTCTCTCTTCTCCATCCCATACCCATTAAATAAATAGATGCTCTCAGGGAAAAAATCTTTTTCAAATATCCTTTGCAACCGGCCAAATTAATATGGCATACTTTAATTGAAAAGGGGATGATCTACGCATTAATCAAATAATGCATTAACTCAAGTGCTTTAGGAGAATGGAAAGCCAGAGTGAGCTCATTGAGAGCTTGGCTTTGCGTCTGCCCTTTCCCCATCCAAGGGCTGTTTTAGGTGTGAATCACTGGTCCTCTGTCAAAGTCCCCTTTGCCTGATGTTAACATTGAATCTACTTTCCTGGAAAGGCTCTTGTTTTCAGTATATATATATTTTTCTGTTTTGAGTGATTTCATCTTTGCCCAAACATATTTTTTTTTTCTATCTGTGGTTTTCTCACATCATCTAAACCAGGAGGTTGAAAATTAACCGGTGGAAGTTGCCTTCAGAAGTTGTGGGTGCTCCATTGCTAGAGGCTTTTGAGAAGAGACATCCATTTGTTTGGAATGATATAGGGTTTCCTGCTTGAGCAGGGGAGGGGGGGGGGACTTCCCACTCTGTCATTCTAAGTTCTATGTTCACCCTTTCTTCTTTCTTTCTTTCTTCGTTATTCTCTGTGTTTATTCTTTCTTTCTTTCTTTCTTTCTTTCTTTCTTTCTTTCTGTTATTCTGTTTATTCTTTCTTACAGTCTCTTTCTTTCTTTCTCTGTTATTCTGTGTTTATTCTTTCTTACAGCCTCTTTCTTTCTTTCCTTCTTTCTCTTTTTCTGTTATTCTAAGTTCTATGTTTACTCTTTCTTACAACCTCTTTCTTATTTTTTCTTTCTCTTTCTGTTATTCTGTTTTATGTTTACCCTTTCTTTCTTTCTTTCTTTCTTTCTTTCTTTCTTTCTTTCTTTCTTTCTTTCTTTCTCTCTGTTATTCTAAGTTCTATGTTTACTGTTTCTTACAAACTCTTTCTTTCTTTCTTTCTTTCCTTCTTTCTCTTTTTCTGTTATTCTAAGTTCTATGTTTACTCTTTCTTACAACTTCTTTCTTATTTTTTCTTTCTCTTTCTGTTATTCTGTTTTATGTTTACCCTTTCTTACAGCCCTTCTTTCTTTCTTTCTTTCTTTCTTTCTTTCTTTCTTTCTTTCTTTCTTTCTTTCTTTCTTTCTCTCTGTTATTCTAAGTTCTATGTTTACTGTTTCTTACAAACTCTTTCTTTCTTTCTTTCTTTCTTTCTTTCTTTCTCTGTTATTCTGTGTTTACTCTTTCTTACAACCTCTTTCTTATTTTTTCTTTCTCTTTCTGTTTTATGTTTACCCTTTCTTACAGCCTTTCTTTCTTTCTTTCTTTCTTTCTTTCTTTCTTTCTTTCTTTCTTTCTTTCTCTCTGTTATTCTAAGTTCTATGTTTACTGTTTCTTACAAACTCTTTCTTTCTTTCTTTCTTTCTTTCTTTCTTTCCTTCTTTCTCTTTTTCTGTTATTCTAAGTTCTATGTTTACTCTTTCTTACAACCTCTTTCTTATTTTTTCTTTCTCTTTCTGTTATTCTGTTTTATGTTTACCCTTTCTTTCTTTCTTTCTTTCTTTCTTTCTTTCTTTCTTTCTTTCTTTCTTTCTTTCTCTCTGTTATTCTAAGTTCTATGTTTACTGTTTCTTACAACCTCTTTCTTTCTTTCTTTCTTTCTTTCTTTCTTTCTTTCTTTCTTTCTTTCTTTCTTTCTTTCTCCTGTGGGCAAGGTTTCTTGGGAGAAAGAGCAAATAAATGTGAACAGGATCTGATAGACACCTTTAGATGGGAATGCCTTGCTACCAGCTTGATCCCAAGAACATGGTTTGGAAATGAACCCAGTGTCTGTGCTTCCCTTTCACTCCTCCTCTGATCTTCTGCCACCAGAGGGCAGCCAGATCAAGCCCGCCTCTGTCAGTTATCCCAGATGAAATGCAAAATTCCTTATGAAATCCCAGAATGTAAGGCCAGCCCAGGGAATACTGGGAAATTTAAAAAGACGGTGTTCTGGCAGTTATGGGACCTTCCCAAGTGGAGCGGGACAATGAATCTAGGAACCGCTCCTAGAAGGTGGTGAGCTGAGGAACCTCAAGAGCCAGGAAGTGGTGGGAACAACACGATAGGAAGGACATCCTGGTATGTAAATAAAACACAGTCAAATAACAGATTCGGGGATGTCAGAAAAAGGAAAGAAAAGAACTGACTTGAGAGGGAAGGTTAGCCTGTTAGGAAAGAAAAAGAGGAAACTTTGTTCCAAAAAAGTGGTGAGGAGGCATAATAATGGTCTGCAATCGTCCTCAGGAATCCAACCACCAGAAAATGAGAGAAATAACTACAGAGAAATACAACAAGGGAACAATCTATTTGCTGTTACATATCTTGACTGCAGCTAGACTTGCCTTTGCGCAAAAATGGAAGAGCAAAGAAATTCCTACAGAGGAAGAGACACTATATAAAATATGATCATGTGCGGAGATGGACAGGCTCACAATGGTATTGAAAGACAAATGTAGATCACTTTATTTCAAAACCTGAGATAATTTTTACTGCTGGAGGGATTCAAAGAGGAAGGTTGGGATTATAGGCTAGCGTTAAGATAGAAATATATGTAATTTTAGAATAAGTATTGTATATAAAATTGAGATGTATATTCAGAGATGAAGAATCGATTGTAAAATGTGGAATAATTTGATAAGCATGTATATACTGGAATGTCACGTTATATCCAATGTTTTTTTTTTTAATTGCATTATAAATAAAATTTTGTAAAAAAGAAAAAAAAAGAAAGAAAACGAGGAAGGACATTTTTCAGCTCTGAGGAACATGTTGAGGCACAGCTATGATCTGAAGAAGCTCAGAGGGATGAAAAATGTTTTGAGTGAATCATAAGTTTATGCCTTGAACCCAAAACCACAAGCAGGTTTTCACACTGAAACATCCCGCTGGACTCGGTAGCTCCAATTTGTTCCTGCAAACTAATCCCACGCATATATATTTTTTAAAACCTTAATTATGATGTTTTGTTGAATTCCATTGGGCTTTTGAATGGAAACATACTGATACTCTGCTTGCTTTTTAAGCATGATCCCTAGTCCCCTTAGGTCTCTTTAAAATCCAAAAAGGAGAGCTTTGAATATTTCAGGAGCAAATGAGCTGGGCCAGAGATTATTCTGAAAGCTTGAGTAGACTTCCTTCACATCATTTATTTATTTATGCATTTGTTACATTTATATGCTGCCCAACTCACTATTCCAAGCAGTTCTATGCTTTGCTATTGGGTGGGTGAGTGGGGGGCAGAAAACACCCATTACATGAATTTGCCATTTTGATCAACTGCTTTCAATCATCTTGTTGCACCCGCAGAAATGGGGAATCTAATATAATTGGTCACAGCTTTTCCCACAGGATTACTGGGTAGACCAGTGATGGCAAACCTTTTAAAGACCGAGTGCCCAAATTGCAACCCAAAACCCACTTATTTTTCACAAAGTGCCAGGGCCACATCAGCATTGTGGTGCCCTTGAGGGAGGCGCCTCTGAGTGCCGCCTCTGGCACGCCAAAAAATGAGCCACCGTGCTACAAGGCGCAAAAACGACCGCCACCGCACCATGGGGTGCAGATACAAGGCGCTGCACCATGCAAGAATGGGGCAGTGATCATCACGCAGGCCCTAGCCCCACCCCATTTGCAGTGCGTGCGTGCTCGAGGCCCCGTGCACACATGCACGCGTGTAAAATGCTTCCCCCTCCCTTTTCTTCCAGTCAGCCAATCAACAATGGTTGGTGACCTCTGCTCTACCACCTCTACTTGAGCTTGCTAGTTGGCTGCTTCGCCTCCTTTGTGCTGGGTGGGGTGCCTGCTCCGGGCGGCGGTGGTGGCATGATAGGCCTGCTGCTGGGGGCGGCGGCATGCGTGCCAACAGAGAGGGCTCTGAGTGCCACCTCTGGCACGTGTGCCATAGGTTTGCCACTGCTGGGGTAGACGGTGATAAAAACCAAACTCACTCACAAATCTCTGGATTATGTACCAAGAAACAGAGAGTGGTTGATCGGCTGCACTGTTGAAGGCAACAGTACATACAGTCAACATGGGTTTCTGGTTGAATGATCAGGTCCAAAGCGAAAGTGTCAACTCTACAGTTGGACATGGAAAAACTGAGGAAAGGCACATTCCCATGGGAAAGGAAGATCAAGGCAACTGCCCACATGGGCTCTCATCCCTTCCTCCCTCCCTCCTCCAGCATGGATCCCAGGGTCTTACATACCACACCACTCGTCCACCCAGGCGAAGGCTTGGCGATGTCCGATGAGTAAAATATCTCGAATAACCTGAAACCCAAAATTGTGTTACTGGCATTGCAGGCAGTGTCCAAGCAAATTCTACCCAGCAATTCCACCACCATAAATCAACACGAGCCAGCATTTTGCTGCAGCTGCCCCCCAAAGCCTAGGTTGCATCAACAGAAGGATAATAACAAGATCATGCGAAGAGTTAGTACTGCTTTACACTGTTTTGGTAAGACCACCCTTGGAATATGGCATCACATTACAAAAAAAGAGGTTGAGACTTTAGAAAGAGTGCTGGGGAAGAGCAAGATGATTTCAAAGAACAGGAACTGGGGATGTCTAGTCTAATGAAGAGAAGGACTAGGGATGACAGGATAGCAGCCTTCCAATATGTGAAGGGCTTTCGCAAAGAAGAGAGGGTCAACCTATTTTGCAAACCACCCAAAGGCAAGGCAAGAAGTAACAGATGGAAATTTATCAAGGAGAGAGCCAACCCTAGAACTAACAGTGAGAACAATTTATCAGTGGAATGGGTTGCCTTCAGAAGTTGTGGGTGCTCCATCACTGGAGGTTTTCAAGAGACTGGAAGCCATTTGTCCAGAATGTTATGGGGTCTCCTGCTTGAGCAGAAGTTTGGCGGGAGGCATATGGTGTTTTCCTCCCAAAATACGAAGCAACGCAAAACCCTCTTCTAAACTGCAGCATAAAATTCAACATTTTCTACCTTGTTTTGCTGTGCGAATGAGATGGGCAATCGCAGCCAACTGGATGTCAAGAACCACAACTCTGCGTCCCTCATCCCCAGCCAAGTGGGCCAAGACTGAGAGTTGTAATCCAGCAACATTGCCATTCTTGGCTGCAGAAACCAAACATGACCACTTTATGGAGGAAGACTGATGGAAACATCAAACCCAAATACAGACTGAGTTTAAACAGCCAGAGATTATTGTTCTGTATTGATTTCCCTGTTTTTTTAAAAAAAACCAGGATTATTCTCTCAGAAGATAACATCCTATGAATGAAATTTCAAAAAAGAACTACTTGTGTTGTGTGCCAAGAACAAGAGAGAAGAATATTTGTGTGCAGAGAAGAGCAACAAAGATGATGAAGGGCCCGGAGGCTAAACCATATGATGAACAGTTGAGGGAGTTAGCTATGTCTAACCTATTGAAGAGAAGGATTAAGGGGGACATAGTCCAATATTTGAGGGGCTATCACAGAGAAGAGGGGATTGACTTATTCTCCAAAGCACCCGAGATCAGGACAAGAAGTAATAGGTAGACGTTCATTAGAGAGATACAACCTAGAACTAAGGAGAAATTTTCTGACAGTGAGAACAATTAATCAGTGGAACAGCTTGCTTCCATAAGTTGTAGGTGCTCCATCACTGGAGATTTTCAAGAGGACAACCATTTGACTAAGATGGTATAGGGCTCCTGCATTGAGCAGGGGATTAGATATTAGAAGACCTTCAAGGTCCCTTCCAACTTTGTTATTCTGTTAGTCCAGGGCTCTTCAAACGTGGCTCTTTTATGACTTGTGGACTTGTTGAAGTCCACAAGTCATAAAAGGACCAAGTTTGAAGAACGCTGTGTTAGTCTGTTCCCATAGAGGATTTGAGCTCTAAGGAGCTGTCCAAGGTACTGAAAGGGCAGCCCTATCCCACATGAAACATGGCCACCAAGCCACAATGCATCTCTTACCCTTCTCAATTTGTAATCAGGAAAGCCATTGTCCTAAGAACAAGAACAACAACACCAATATAGCATCTCCCAGGTCAGCCAACAAGGATTCTTGCATTCTGGGATAGTTCCTCCCCTTAACTGCTGAAGTTGTCCTCAAACACAGAAGATACTGTAGAATTGTAGGGCTGGAAGAGATCTCAGCAGTCTTCTAGTCCAAGGTAGGAGACTTTATACCATCCCAGTCAAATGATTGTTCAGTCTATTTTTTGAATCTATTTTTTGAATCTCTAAGCAACAGAGCACCAACAATTCCAGGAAACAAGCTGTTCCACTGATCTTACTGCCAGGAACTTTCTCCTTACTTCTGGTTTGGATCTATCTTTAACAAGCTTCCCATCATTCCTTCTTGTCCTACTTTGGATAATAAGTCAATCCCCTCTTCTCTGTGACAGTCCCAAATATTGGAAGACGGTTGTCATGTTCCCCCAGTCCGTTTCTTTGATAGACTGATCATACCTAGTTCTCTTAACTGTTCATTATATGATTCAGACTCCAGACCCCTGATCATTTTGGTTGTTCTTCTTTGCACTCTTTCTAGGGTCTCAGTATCTTTTTTGTTTCATGGTGACTACACCTGGATGCAGTATTCCAACCGTGGCCTCACTAGTTTGATATAAAGCGGTACTGACGCTGCATGTGACCTTGAAACTGTCCCTCCATTGATGTAGCCCAACACGTCATTGGCTTTTTGGCTATTGCAGCACATTCCTCTCCAGCCACCAGACTTCTCTGCAGGCCACTTTGTAGACCAAAGTACAATCTCACCTTATGGACAAATTGTTCTACCCGTGTTTGCAGCCCCCAGACTTCAAATTTGACCGTCACCAGTTTGTAGGAGCACATGATGGGCTGTGTCTGTTCCCGCCAGCCCTCCAGGAGTGGCCCACGACCTGTCTTAGCTGAGCTGAAGGACCGGAGATCCTATATAGCCAAAAAAAGGGGGGGGGAGAAATAGAATTTTGATCACGTGACCATGGGGAAGCTGCAACAATCGTAAGTGTGAAAAATCATCATAAGCCACTTTTTTCAGTGCCGTTGTAACTTTGAACGGTTACTAAATGAAAGATTGTAAGTCAAGGACTACCTGTAAAATTAACCCCACTGGCTGTGCTTTTTTTTTTTCCCCTGGACTGCCTCACAAGGCTGCTATCTATCTTGCAAGTCTTATACTCTTTTCCAAAGAGAGAGAGAAGATCCTCAGGAGACTCTGTCTACCAAGCACCTGAGAGCAGTATCGTTGCAACCCCAGCAGCAAGTAGGTGTACAAGTGATGAGTTTGCAAAGTGCCATGATCTAACACTACAGCTGGGATAGAAGTTGCCCAAGCCTGCAGAAGTAGAACAACGTGAAGTCCTTCCTCCTGTCTCTCAAGGTCCTTCCTACAGGCCATTACAGGAATGAGCAGTTGGGTTGGAGAAGCCAAAGCCACCCACCAACCATGCACAGTTAGCCTGTCCAACGGGTTGTTACCTCTAAGCTGCTGTAGTAGCGGTCTGGGATTTCGTCAAAAGCAATGTCCAAGAACATCACTTCATGGTCTCCCAAGATTTTTTCACTGGGAAAGATCTGTGAGAGCAAGCGGGAAAAACAACGCCAGTCAGTTTGCCAGTGAGAGAAAACACAGATTTTTAGCTAATGAGGGATGGTAAACATAAGTGGGGTTGGCTAAGCTACAATGCATACTGGTACCTTCCTTGGCTTGTCATTAGTTTCCATCTGTTGCTTCTTGTCCTGCCTTCAGGTGATTCCCCAAAGCACCAGAAGGCAGGACAAGAAGCAAAGGATGGAAATTAATTAAGGAGAGAACCAACCTAGAGCTAAGGAGAAATTTCCTGACAGTGAGAACAATTAACCAGTGGAATGGCTTGCCTTCAGAAGTTGTGGGTGCTCCATTACTGGAAGTTTTCAAAAAGGAATTGGACAACCATTTGTCCAGAATTGTAGAGGGTTTCCTGCTTAAGCAAGGGGTTGGATTAGAAGACCTTCAAGATCTCTTCCAACTCTGCTATTCTGTATTCGTAATACTCTTCTTATCCAGCTTCTATAAACTCTGTTACTCTGTTATTGACACCCTCATGTTCCTCTGAATCACAAGGCCTCTTCAGATTCTCTGCTCTCTTGCCTAAGCCCCTGATAGTGGCCATAGTGATGGACGCCACCTCGCCTTGACTCTGCTCATCTCATCAGCTGAATGGAATCTTTGCAAAGGGCACTCAATTGTTCCTCATGGTCTCTTCCCACAAACAAGCCCAGATGCAACTTCCCAGGGAGAGAGGATAATTTAATGCAGTGTTTCTCAACTATGGCAACTTGGAAGATGTGTGGACATCAACTCCAGGATTCCTCAGCCAGGGGTGAAATTTCCTTGACCGGGGTTGTCTGAGCTAAAATTTGGTCACCAATTCAATGCATGGATAACTCTCACCATGTCTTCATTCCCCCCTGAAAGTAACTGTACAGGATGAAATGGGGCACTGTTTCTAATTCTGAATGGGTTGCACTTACGTTGGTGCTATTTCCACAATTATCTTCATACTTGGTCTCTATGTAGATAGAAAATTTGGGCAGAAATGAGCACTATAAAAGGAAAGAGAAATGGAGCATGTGAGAAGACCCAGAGGATGAGTGAAAGGATGGTGCTGGAAAAGAGGCAGACAATCATTTTTATAGATTTTGTACTTATATCCTGCCTTTATTATTTTTACAAATAACTCAAGGTGGAAAACATATCCAACACACCTTCTTCCTCCAACTCTGTGAGGTGGATTGAACTGAGAAAGAGGGATCGGCTAAGGTCACCTAGCTGGCTTTCATGGCTAAGGCAAGACTAGAACTCAACATCTCCTGGTGATTGGCCCAAAGTCACCTAGCTGGCTTTCATGGCTAAGGCAGGACTAGAACTCACAGTCTCCTGGTGATTGGCCCAAAGTCACCTAGCTGGCTTTCATGGCTAAGGCAGGACTAGAACTCACAGTCTCTTGGTGATTGGCCCAAAGTCACCTAGCTGGCTTTCATGGCTAAGGCAGGACTAGAACTCACAGTCTCCTGGTGATTGGCCCAAAGTCACCTAGCTGGCTTTCATGGCTAAGGCAGGACTAGAACTCACAGTCTCCTGGTGATTGGCCCAAAGTCACCTAGCTGGCTTTCATGGCTAAGGCAGGACTAGAACTCACAGTCTCTTGGTGATTGGCCCAAAGTCACCTAGCTGGCTTTCATGGCTAAGGCAGGACTAGAACTCACAGTCTCCTGGTGATTGGCCCAAAGTCACCTAGCTGGCTTTCATGGCTAAGGCAGGACTAGAACTCACAGTCTCTTGGTGATTGGCCCAAAGTCACCCAGCTGGCTTTCACAGCTAAGCTGGGACTTGAACTCACACTCTCCCACTTTCGAGCCTGCTGTCTTAACCACTAGACCAAACTGTCTCTCATTTATTAACCATCCACATAAGGTGCCATTTACACTTTCCTGTCCATAAAGTTATGGATATGAACCAAGCCATGCTGCACCAAGAAACAAAAAGAAAGTGACGGGATTTAAACTTTTCTTTCCTTCATGTAATTCATGAAAAATGGGACCGGCAGAAAAATCTCATCCTGCCACTCTTATAACTTCTGGGAACCATCTGCAAATCTTCAAGTATTAAATCAGAACCCATGATGACTAGAAACCCAGTTCTTCCTTCATACTCAAGACATTGGACTCTGCAGTTCCTCTGGGTTTTTTGTGCTCCTATTGGAAAAGGCAGAAGCCCTCCAGATGTTCCCTTTTTGCAAAGACTAGTCTGCAACTCAAACAAGCAAAAAATAAACGACAAACTAATCATGGAACATACTAAGAACATGCCCACCGATAGGGCAACCACTAGTATATCCAAAGAGAGTAATCCCCTCACCCTTCTAGCACTGATAATGTTACCTAGTTGGTTTACGAAGCATCTGTCAGAAAATAACCCATCTCAGAGAGCACCAAGGACCTGACTGCAGCCTTGAAGTTACTCATGGTGTTCTTGAGCTCTCTCTTCTATTCTGCTAGAGAGTTACTGAAAGTAGGGAGGCACCTTAGTACTTACTGTGTACTCTGCATCCACGGTGAGGTAATTCCAGATATCCCAAGTTAGCAAAGGGGAGACAGAGAAAGAGACAAAGCTGAGGTTGGAGAGAAGGAAGAGTTATCCATTACACATTTTCTGGGCAACTAAACCCACTCACTTTGCAACCCGGTGTAGGCATGAGGGTGTTTTAGTAAGCTTCAAAGCTGTAAGGGGAAATCACATGGCTCTTGTACCCAAATTGCATCAACTGAACCTTGCTAAAGCTGAAAGTATTTTTCCCCTCCTGTAGGAAATTACCAGGTTGAGCCCGAGGGGGGAGGATCAAACATGTCATCAGTCTGGAGTCTCTTTGCGCCCACAAGAGATCTAAGTCCAGCCCACATCAAATTCCTTCTATTCTTATCTCCCGCCAATTTCCCTTGGCCGTTAGTAGTTTAGATTCTTGTGGGGAACTTAAGCATACAATAAATCTTTATACGCTTTTGAACTACTTGGGTTTCCTGATTTTCCTGGCACCTGACACCTCTTTTCCTTTCACTCTCCAAAAAACCAGAGAGGATCCCTTCTGAATAGCAATAGCAATAGCACTTAGACTTATGCTCCGCTTCACAGTGCTTTACAACTCTCTCCAAGCAGTTTACAAAGTCAGCCTCCTGCCCCCAACAATCTGGATCCTCATTTTACTGACCTCAGAAGGATGGAAGGCTGAGTCAACCTTGAGCCTGCTGAGACTCGAACTGCTGGCGGTCGGCAGAATTAGCCTGCAATGCTGCATTCTAACCACTGTGCCGCCACAGCTCATGAATGCTTTCCATACCCTTTTCCTTTTGGGGGGCTGAGATACCTTTTGCACAACGATTGTCCAGTTTGTGGCTCTGTCTCCTGTCTGCCAAGGTCATTCTCACATGTCATTAGAGTTTCCTCCTTACCTGTGATGGTATATGGGTAATAGTTCCAGGCTTTCTCGGTGATATAGAAGATTCGTGGTGTTACCGCACGAGCCCAGCTAGGCAATTTGCTGCAGAAGAACAGAGCACAAGGCTAAATGGAAATCAAACCCCAAATTTACGTCTATGTTCAAGTCTCCAAATTATTAAGATATATCCCAAAGTAACCCAAATTAGCTCTATAGTAATATAATAGTATTTAATATATTACAATATTTTAAATATTAACATTTAAATAAAAAAAATGAAATAAGCTGCTGAGGGAGGAACCAGTGATCTCCAGACTGGAGAGAACCATGATGTTAACAGAGATCAAATGTCTTTAAAGCCAACAAGAGAAGAATCTGTTGGATTGGGGAGAGGAAAATGCCTAAAATTAAACTCTAAAGCAGAAAATTGGAGTGGATAATCTTCTGTAGGTCTATGGCTTCATTCTTGCCTGCAATAGAGATTGAACAAGTCAAGAAAGGCGCCGAGGAACTGGAAACAGTTCAGAGAAGAACAAACGCTACGTTGAGGGATTTATTGATTAAGGACCGATGAAGAATGATTAATGTTGCTGTGGATGTTTCATTGAAAGAAGAGAGAACTAAGGGTAGACATGACAGTCTTCCAATCCATAAAGGGGTGTCACGGGGTATGGATTTATTCTCCATAATGCCTGAACATAGGACAAGGACCAATGGGTGGACATTTTACAGAGGAAGAACCAAACTGGGAATAGGAAGAAATTTCATGGTGATGAGAGTTCATGAGCAATGGAACAGCCTGTCCCCTGTACTCACAGGAGCTCTGTCACTGGAGATCTTCAAGTAAAGGTTGGACAGCCATGTATGTGGAATGGCCTGAGGATTCCTGCCATGGGCAGAAGGTTGGAGGAGAACATCTTCACGTTCTTTCCAATTCTAAGGTTCTAAGCTATGACCATGACCTTCTACCAAGTGAGCCAGTTCATGAAGAAGAGGATAAGTGTCAACAACCAAGTTTTACATAAATGTCAAGTCAAGAAGATGGACAAAATGTTGACCAACAATGTAAATAGACCACCGACTCAGTTTTATTCCACTTTTATTTTTGCAGCTTCTGGAGGAGCAAATGTACCTAATTAGGGCTGCGCAGTTTTTCCTATTTCTCCCTCTCCCTAACTGCAGAAGTATAAAATAGATGAGTTAAGCTTCTGATGTTAAAATTAATTCTCGCAGTCAGTTAGAGCTAAGATATAAGCAACTCGCACTGTTAGAAATAGAACAGATGAACAGAAACAGGCTGTTCTACTCAAAAGAGTGGGGGGGGGGCTGCCACATGGCTTAGGAAGGCAATGTTACACCAGAAGGCTTGAGCATCTTCCTTTTCATACCTAGACTTGTTTTTTGAACCACTGCAGTAGATGACATTCTTGGATTATTGGTTTATACACCCGTCAATAAATATTATATATAGTTGGTGGCCCCAATCTAAGTGGTTCGTTCCTGCACATGGGCGGTTGGACTTTTGATCAGCTTAAGATACTTATTTTAGGGAATTTCTCTTCCCTCTTTCAAAAAAGGCAAAGATAAAAGCTTCATTGATTGATTACGTGCCATCAAGTCGGTGTAGACTCTTAGCCACCATATAGATAGAGTTTCTCTAAGAAAATCTGTCCCCAACCTAGTCTTCCAACAGTGAAGATCTTCCAATTCATTGCCATGGTAACTGAGTCTGTCCATCTTCCTGCTGGTCATCCTCTTCTCCTCTTTTCTTCACATCTCCACATTAATGCCTGCATAATGTCCAGAGTAAGAGCCTGGTCATTTGTGCCTTGAGTGAGAACTCTGGGTTGATTTGTTCAATGGACCATGTATTTGTTTTCTTGGCTGCCCATGGTCTTCTCAGGAGTCTTCTCAACCCCCAAAGTTCAACGCATCAATATTCTTCTTATCCTGCTTCTTTAAAGTCCAACTTCCACTTCCCATAGAGTATCCCTGAGAGCCAGTCTGGCCTAGTGGTTAAGGCACCGGGCTAGGAACTGGGAGACTGTGAGTTCTAGTCCAATTTTAGGCATGAAAAATAAGCTGGGTGACTTTGGGACAATCACCAGGAGCTAGTGAATTCTAGTTCTGCCTTAGGCATGAAAGCTGGCTGGGTGACTTTGGGCCAGTCCAGGAGATGGTGAGTTCTAGTCCTGCCTAAGGCATGAAAGCCAGCTGGGTGACTTTAAGCCAATCCAGGAGACGGTGAATTCTAGTTCTGCCTTAGGCATGAAAGCTGGCTGGGTGACTTTGGGCCAATCCAGGAGACGGTGAATTCTAGTTCTGCCTTAGGCATGAAAGCTGGCTGGGTGACTTTGGGTCAATCACCAGGAGATGGTGAATTCTAGTACCACCCTAAGCACGGAAAGGAAGATAATGCATGGTTTTCCTGATGACCTCATGAACATTTCTATGCAGTTTTCTTGACAACAATATCTGTATTAACCTTTTTGAAGATTTTTTTTTAAAAAAACTCTGTATCTCTTGGAATTCTTGGTTGTCCCATCCAGGGAGATGTTCTCGGGTGACAGATGGTGGGCGAGGAAGCAAGAAAAGCCTGTGCTGATGATGTTACCTAGTTTGGGTAATGAAACATCTGCAAGAAAACAACCAAGAGAAGAGAGCACCAAAGACCCCCCCCCCCCGAAAAGATTCTACTTGGTCATCCAGAAAAACAAGGACACTGTGATTCTCCTACTTTCTCTTTCCAACTGTTGCCTGGAATCAACCCTGCCAGATAACAATCCGTGAGCCCACCACCCTCTTGGGTCTTCCTCTGTGCATCTCTTCTGCAGGACTGAGCTGAGATGCCTCTTCACGGGCATCTCTTCTGCAGGACTGAGCTTGTGGCATCTGATCTAGTTCCTTCACTCCTGGGGATGGGACCAGGCTGCTAGGAACTGATCCTTCTTTGACGATCCTGTCTGCCTTCACCATAGCAACTTTATATTTCAACACACCGATTTTTCTGACAAGGGGTTCTGCAGGTCTCTTCCCATTCCTCCTGGTTCCTATTGGAAATTAGTCAAGTCTGCTTTAGCTATCTGACATCAGCCAACGTTGACTAGGGGCTTCCAAGACAACGCCAAGGGAAAATGGCTGAAATTCTCCACTGGCAGCTCTCCACGTTGAAGGGCTCCATTTCAGAAAGGTTCTGCTTTGCTGTGCTGTCACCTGCCAGCTGGATTTTTACAGGGAGAAATGAGCTGCGTTTTCCTATCAGTCAATTATTCCTGTTCAGTTTTGTCTTCTATAAATAGAATTCCCTTAGGAGAAGAGTCGTGAGAACACAGTCTAAAAATACAACTGTTCCGCACATGGACAGCTCTAGCGATGGCCAACTGGTTTTGATGGGTCTTGCAAAGAGACAGATCCATGCTGGTGGGGTGTGAGTGAGGAACCAGGGGCTCATATTCCAGGTCATCAAGCAAACCAGCCAAAAATTGGGAAGCCGAGTTTAAGCCAGCTGGGAGAAACGCCTGGGGCTTCAGCTCAAATGCAATTGCAAGGTAAAAATCTGCTTATATCCATGTAAGCTGGGAGGAAAGGACAAAGGTAAACAGAGAGAGAGAGACTGACAGGCTAATCCTAAATTCAATTGTAGGTTCGAGAGCCTGCATTTAAATGGATTTAGCCCAACTGAACCTTGCAGGCATCGTGCATTTGGAACTGGGAGGGAGTTAATACGAAATGACAGGGGTGGCTATTGAAAAAGAGGATGGGAATAAATCAAAACCTGATAAAGAGGGATGCCCAGCTTGGTCCAAGGTAGGCTGCAAAGCCCTGCTTCCTATGAGCCCAAACGTGGCATGGATTCAGGGTCACCCAAGGATAACAATCAGAGCCCGGTGCTACACGATGCCTCAAAGGGGGGGGGGGAAGCAGCAGTGACTATCATTTCAGGCAATAGCTATGGTCAACTGGTTAGGGGTCCTCCTCCCCACCCAGGCAGTGCACTCTCCTTCATTCATGGGCAGGGCTTGGCTTTGATAAGGAGGAGCACCCTGGAACAAGGAAGGAGGTTAAAAAGAAGGCCCTCATTTCCAACAAAGCCTCAGGACAATCTAGAAGACACAATTTGAAGGAGGTTAGGGAGAAGACCCTCCGCTCATTTCCTAAGAACAACAAAGCCTCAGGACAATCTAGAAGACACAACATGGAAGGAGGTTAAGGAGAAGACTCTCCACTCATTTCCTAAGAACAACAAAGCCTCAGGACAATCTAGAAGACACAACGTGGAAGGAGGTTAAGGAGAAGACTCTCCACTCATTTCCTAAGAACAACAAAGTCTCCGGACTTCTAGAAGACACCACATGGAAGGTTAAAAAGAAGACCCTCTGTTCATCTCCTAAGAACAACAAAGCCTCAGGACTTCTAGAAGAGACAACATGGAAGGAGGTTAAGGAGAAGACCCTCTGCTCATTTCCCAAGAACACAGCCTCAGGGTATCTAGAAGACATACAGTAACCTGGAAGGAGTTTAAGGAGATGACCCTCCTCTCATTTCCTCATTCATTGCTGAAAGAGAGAGCTGAAGAAGGAACTATCAACCAGCAGTTGTGAGCACAAACTTCTCCAACTTGATATCCTGTAGTTGCATGGACAAGGATCCCATACAGCAGGAGGATGGGAGCTGTAACCCCTGTATGGTGCTGAATCAAGAGCTGATAAAGTTACCCAGAGACTTCCCATCGTGAATAATTTTTCCCTGAAGCTCCTAGGGAAGGTTCAAAAATCCCCCTTTCCCCCACAGTGGTTGTCAGAAACAGGCTCACCCATCATGACAAGAGGTCCCACTGTTGAGTTAGTGGGGCTCTTTGGTATGACCTAAAAAGAGTCCCCTCTCCAGGTCATAGAAAGAAGGTTGATCTTGACCCAGCCAGTGTTGTCAACTTCATTGAGTCAATTAGCTCAAACAACTTCTCCTGGAAAGTAAAACATTATTGATCTAGGACTTGCAACCAGAAACAGAGAGAGGAAGAAGACTGGAAACTGAGAAATTGAAAGTATAAATGAGGCCCAGAAGGAATCATTTTTCTTCCCTTATCTGCTGCAAATGCTCAC